AAGCTTAATGTGGAGAATTTCTCCAGATTCAAAATTTTTCGGTAGTCTTCGAGAAAAAAGTATTTGTAATCAACTTTCCTGTGATCATGAACAATAAAAGGTTAAATAGTGAAATTAATTAATGAAAAATACGGTATAAATTTATAAACATGAGTAAATGAAAAAATATACATACACTGTTAAATCTGGCCTGATCATTTGCCAATAAACCTCTGATTGTGATACAGAAATCTTTGGCATAAAGTTCATCTAATTCCAATTCTTTTGAAGATTGATCAATAGCCCTAATTATCATGTTGCTAGATCTTCCACTATTACTTGCGGCATTCACTTTTTCTAAAAGACCAGAAATGGTTTCTTTTTGAACTTCCCAATATCCGATAAGTTTACCAATTGTTGCGACGATTGATTCAAGATCATTTTCCATTCTCTCAATGATAGATATTAATTCGCTCTTTTCTTCTTCTAATTTGCCTTTGACATCTTCACTTCTGGCGGAATTTTTATGTTTGGATATTCCTTCTTTTATAGCAGCAGCTGATCAAATAAATATAGTAATTTTTTCGAAATAATTTTATGTAAATAATTTTTAACATATAATGTAAATGAAACTATATAATAGTTTACTTACCAGCTCCACCACCTATACTAGCGGCACCCACAATAATACCAACGACTGCGGCTTCTATAGCGATACTAGCACCGGCAGTAAACGGAGCAAGGGCCACAGAAATCGCAGTCAACACAGCTCCACCCCCTACAGTAGCTGAACCAGCAGTGATCCAACGGTTTGAACTTCTGATTTCATCTTCTATTTTATTTAACTCATCCTTGGTTTTCGATTTGATATTTTTCGGATTACTTTGAACATCACTTTTATACTCATCAAGATTATATCTAATTTTTACTAGTTCATTTTTAACAATATTAGCTTTACCCATCAAAATTTCAGAAGATTTTAGATTTCGTTGAGTATCTTCTAATAAAGATTCTAAATCTTGAAAATTATCATCAGAAACATTCTGTTCAGAAAAACATTTAATAACTAATCGCAAGTTCGAAACGTATTTGCGTATTTCATGGCTTTGTTGAATAGAGTCTTCTAGAAACTCTTGAAATTTCTCACGTTGAGCG